TATACCCCTGCAACCCGACATAACCCGAATATTTGGGCCAATTTCTGGGCATTTTCCTCACTTTTCATACCCCTGCAGCAGAGTTTTTCGTCAGGTTATTTTTGCGAAGGGGCTCTTCAAAGAAGGCCAAGAGTGTATAGTATGTGAGGAGGGCAGGAATAAATGGAGGGAGGAGTTAGTAAGGGTGTGTGCGTATAATATACAAACTTGTGTGGGTGGGTGCAAATATGTCATTATTAACTATGAGTTCGGGTGGTGTGGGTAGCTATAATTCTAGTATGTGATAGAAGAGAGTGGCAGGCGTGTTATATTAGTGTGAATTGACTAGGTATACAATTGTTGTAGGAGTATAGGATTATTGTATTAAATATAGTAGGAGTAGAAATAAAAGTATAAAGGAAGAAGAGAAATAAGAAAAAAAGAATGAAAGAAAGAGTTAGAAGAAAGCGTAAGTTGAAGAAAAATCCTTGAAATAATAAGATTCAAAGGCTTTAATTAAGAGAAAAGGTTTATTTAATTCTAATTATATTTTGGGTTATAATTCAACCTGTGACAACCTGTCTTTGTATTAAGTAAAGAACTATTCCCCCTTAACAGAAAGCTTAGAGAATGTATGAATTCATTGTATTTTCTTGTAGCCCATCACATAGATTGAATGAACATATAAAGAACTAAATAAAAATTATTATATGTATAGCTAATGGCCAATAAGCATGTAAGTATGGGGCATAGTGTATATAGAGATACAGTTGCCATTTATTAGCTCGTTATACGTATATATTTTAAAGTAACGAACATGCATTAATTTAATTTTATTATCATGCAGATTTATATGAATAGCAGCATTATTCATGACTATTAAATTCTATTTATGATTTTTAGAAGTAAATTACTGGTTTCTTGTTGGTATAAATCCTATTTGTATACTTTCTAAAAACTAATAGGTCAATTTTAGCCAAATAGAATATTATTGAAATATATGTGCATAGATCATAAGTAAATCATAATAACACTTTTAACTGTATTTTATAGAGATTTAGGATCAAATAATATGAAATACTGCACACATAGAGGGATTAACAGCCACTGTGCAAATTATTATTTTATTTGTGTATAGTTGTCTAACTGCTTATGATGTTTAATTATAGGAGCTATATATTGAAAAGATTATTTGTTCATTTTAGAAAGAAAAAACCAATTATTTAAGAATAAGAAGTATAAATATTTGGAAGCATCAATTATTTATAATGCGAACAGTTTTTAAAATATTAGTATATTTTGGATTACTCTGTGTTTTTTCTACTATTCTGTTAATTATAATACAGCCATCATTAGAAAATGAAAAAATATAATATTATACCAGACAAAATAAAGTTAGTCAATACCCAAATACTATTGCTAAGTTAAGCCTATATATACAAAAAGTAAATTGTTCTAAAGATGCAGAAACTTTCAGTGCAGTTATTTATTAAATTAAAGAGCCATTAAATAATTCAATACTGGTGAATTTGCACAGATAAGGAGAATTTATCTAATATTTTAGTAGTACCACTAAGGTGATATTCTATATAATAATAGGCACAGAAGAAGAATAAATAGAAAGAAAAAGGAGAAACAATCAGAATAAAGCATTAAAGTAGAAATAAACTAAAAATATTATTTCGAAATGGAACCACTATTTATACAGAGAAAGAATATATTAATTACATCTGAAATAAAATATATTTAAAACTCATGTATTTAAGAGAAATTATTTATAGTGTGTAGTTATAGCATGTTTAGATTAAGAGATTTGTGATTATACGTAGTTATCTGTATAGTATAACCATTTATTATAGCTGTTTTTTTCTTAAAGACTTAGACATACGAAAACTTGTTATTTATTGAAAAACCAAAACTCTTATATAATTTTAATTCCAATCATTGGCGATAGCAATAGGAGTGTTGTCATCATCAATGATGGACATCCATATATTAATATCATACTTAACCATTTCTATTCTGGATCTCACTATCCAAAACCAACAATCATGACAAAATAGTGAAATCGGTCTAATCACATTTAACTAGAGTTGGCTACTCCCTTGTACATTATTAAGACTCATTCAAATTTTTTATTATTCTCATCTTATATAGCTTCAATTTCCAATTATACAGCTCTATAAGACTTCGCGGGCGTGAGGCTCTCACGTTAGACATGGTTCATCATACGGCAGAAGCCAACAACTAGTACAAGAATTTATATTATATTTAATATAAGCGTATAGGAAATGAAGTATAAAATCATTTACATATTGCAATAGATTAAAATTTTAAGTTGTTATGAAAAGGTTAAAGAAGAGTGAAATTATACTTGGACTAATATGCATAGCTTTAGAAATAGTACTGTGTGGTGAGTTTAAAAAAGAATGCATACAGTCTATACATAATAAAATAGATCAGAAGATGCAGAACCATATTATACCGCACAATATGAACTCATCATTTAAGAGTAAGAACAGTAAACAACTAGATAATAGAAAATTAAAGAAACTTTTATTTACTATGTGTAAATGGTCTAAAAACACACATTTGGCATATAAAAGAAAAACAAGTGCACTGGCGGACAGTAATAACCAGACTGCGGATATAGGCACAAAATATACACATAAAGAAAACGTTACAAATGCTGTGAATGATACCTTAGAGATAAATAGTGGGTTTGACTTATCATCAGATTTAGAGTCATTGTCAAAGAAAATTAATCATATTAATCCCGTCAAAATAAAGCTTAGCACTGGCTTTAGTAAAAATACAAGATTGTCTGCTTATAAAAATGAAAACAAGTTTATTCTAAGAAACTACATTAATTATATAAGTAATATAAGTAATTTTAAATTGATATGTTATAATCAGATATTTACTACTTCATGGGCAATTAGAAAATCTCAAAAAATAATTAGTAATTGGAAGGAAGATAGAAATACTGATATTTGGAGTCTAATTAAAGATATAAAATTGAGTTATTTTGTGAAAAGGCGAATATTCAGAACCATATTTAAAAAAAAAATTAAAATTACTGGATGCCAAATCCACTATACTATAATGGATTTATAAATGATTTATTTGAGTACATAAAAAACCATGGATCTAGCTTATATAGTCATAGCGACATACATTCTGGTGTAAAGAAGAAAAAAAGTGAAACCGTTGGGGATATATTATCCAATAAAGAAATAAGCTTATACTGTTGTTGCGGCGGTATAAATAGTCAAATGGCTGTAGAAGGAGCAGAGAGGGATATAAAACTTAAAAAAAGTTAAATATTATTCTTTTAATACCAGAGGTATACGAAGACTTCTATAAAATGCCACAGAGTGCAGTTAATAGTTTTGTCAACAAACCAAACATTACAGCTAATAATATAGAAGAGTTTTCAAAAAATCACAATAATATTTATAGAATTGCCTTGCACAATATAAAACATATTATATCATATTTCATGGGCACAGCACAGAAGAATACAGAAGTAATAGAAAGTTCATATACTGAAATTCAAAAAATGGATTTGAAAATCGGATGATACAGCATTGGGATTCTGCAGAAGTGTTTGCTTTAGTTTATGCTGCTGTTCAAATATTTTATAGACATAAGTTTTTTCTACAACAAGTATCTTATGATGAACAAAAATCAATTAAATATAAAACTCCTTTAATGCACGTGGGTTTGTGTTTTAAAGAACCATATCTTAAAATATTAGGGGCATCTACTGTTGCAACTAAAAAATATTTTAAATCTTTTTCAACACTAAAGAAGATAATAATAAAGCCTAATGTTTTTTCTTCATCATCTTACACAATGCATAAAATCATGAAAGCTTCAGGTAATAAAAACAACGAGATATCTATAAAAGATCATTACCATATACAATGTGTAAACAATTCAAAGCACACAGTTGAAATAGCTCATATACCATACTATATACATAGACAGAAAAATGGAAAGAAAGTAAAGCGTGAATTTCATACGATTAAGTATATAGCATTGCATCTTAGAAAGATATTTTCTATAGGATATAATCAGATCGGCCAAAATATAGGAAAAATATACCCGTTTAAATACAGTAGAGAGGATAAAACCTGGTCGTTAATAACCGATAAATCCGATTTAAACAAAACAGTACAGGCAATAGAAAATGAAAACTGTAATGTGGTGTTCTATTACATAAAAGAAAATATCTATGAAACCGAGTTCTGTTTTGCACAATTTGTGTACCCACCTGAAATAAAAGACATAGTTAACGATGAAAATATTGACAAGCCAAGAATCCCATTATTTCTCTCGAAATTTATGGTTTCTGGAAGTGTGCTTGGGCCATATGACGAGTCTGTTATATCATATAAAGTATATTCTATGCAAAACTATAAATGCATGAAGCCTATTAATTATTTGCACGACTATACAGAGGAAGGGTACAATGACATTATGAAATCTTCTTTAGGCACAATAGAGAACACGACAACCTTATCAGTGAAAGAACTTCATATGAGAAAGAACTCTTTAAATTATGCTATTAAGTATTATTATAGTGACTTCTTTATAAGAAAATCAACAGATCCATATGAAGATATTCACTGCTATGACATGAATATTATGCAGAAAGAGAGTAAGTCAAACGGCACTGTAAATATATCTTGGAATACACAAGAGAGACACAGTGCTTATGAGTACACATCATACGCTTTTGATAGTACTGTAAAAGACGAACGACTTCATATGCAGGCAGCCAACCAGCCGGCCATCACTTCATTTATTAATATGCTTCAGAGAAAAAACCCATCCATAAACACTGCGCTATATGGATACTGCATCTATAAAAATAGCGCGGATATTGACTATAAAGCAAGTGCAGTGTTCTGTCTGACTATGCGAGATCTTTTAGAGAGAATGAATACGCATTTATTGGATTTAAACAGAAAATATGAAAAAATCGATCCTGTAACAGGTGTAAATCTTTTTAGCACCACGCATGGCCCAAAGTTCAATTTAAAGGACATTTCTAATGCTATTCAAGACAGTAACCTTGAAGAAATTAAACAATGCTCAAAGGGGGTTATGTTTATAAGAGACAATAACTATAACAGCTGCAAATATGGATTTCATTATGATATTTTAAATGTTTTATCAGATGATCATTTTGAAGATACCCACTTTAACTCAAACAGTAATAAGCCCACATCTATTAGCACTTCTATTTAAATTCAAAAGACCGGAATTAAAAATATTTAGTAGAGAAAACTCAATAAAAGTCTTTAATCTACTGGTGTAAACTGCTCTATTTAATTCACTGTTTTATGGATTAAAAAAATTATTAATACTGTTTTTATAGGGCTATAGAATAGCTGGGTTAATAAAATGCTATTTAGTTTAATTTTTGACAAAAAATACTACAAGCTGCTATTAATTATAAAAATAGCATAGAGCACGCCAAGTGTACCGGAATTGCTGCTTGAACACTAGTATAGTGATCCAATTAATAACGCGGTTGTTTTCTTAGGAAAAGGCATTCTTAAACTTTAATCATTATTTAATTTGTATACGTATTTATAGACCGTATAATCAATTTAATTTATGCTGACGTATTGTGCCAACAACAATTTCTGATTTAATTTGTGCTGTCTTGTTTATGTAAACATTCCGATAACTCGTGTCATGCCACACAAATGCATTGGTTGATTTTTTATTTTTATAGTTACTGCGCTAGTTTATTTAAACATGCACTTATATTTGCCATAATTATAACCCGAAACTATAACAAAAGCTGAAATACATTATTTATATAAACTTTGTACCATTATTATATATTTCAATTCTCACTTAATCTCAGCATTTAATATTTTAATTGTTTTACAGTTATTCGATGTTTTTAAACGATGCTTTTTTAAATGGAACAAATGATGTTTAATAAAATTACTCTAAAGTCTATTCTAGCATGTGATGACAGATTTCGCTTACTTAATCATAAATTAAATGTATTAATAGAAGTAAAATAAAATATTTTAATGGAAAATAACAAGCTCAACTCAACAGATAAGAATATAACAGATGAAACAGCTACAATTTGTAATAAAAAGCCACTAAGCGACTCTAAAGTAGATCTATTTGTTAATGATTCAAACAAAGAGTCTCCAGTATGCATTAAATCAACAACAGAAACAGAAGAAAATAAGAGAAATAGCACTAATGTTAATGCGCCCTACGAAGCTTTAGAAGTGATCCAAAATTTAGAGAATAATAGTAGGTCGCTGGGAATGTCTAAGTATGTATATTTAATAATATATAATCTTATTTTATGGTCTTTTGGCATCTCTTTAATACTTTACTTAACTATTATATTATATAGTGATGATAATGGTAAAATGAGTAAAGAAATGAAAAATGATATAGGAATTTCTGAATTTGGTTTTTCGGCTTTACAATACTTTCAGTGCTTCAGTAATCTTCTATATGCATATGTTACAATGTATAGTATGGGGAAAATTAGCGATATTATATACGATAGAGGCAATACGGGAGTATTTATTGCGATCGTTTTTATTCTGCTGTGTTTGAGCTTAGTTTGTATATCCTATTGTGCAGGGATATTTTTGACTATTTTCTTATCCTACAAAGGAATATTTTATTTTATTATAGTTATGTCCATAATAATACAAATTTTATCCAGTATTTGTGTATACTCCTATATTTCTATAAGCCAAAAAGCCTCAGGATCTAGATACAGGACGTTATACGTTGCTAAATCATATTTTAAAAGGATATTCTGTGCAATATACCATCTAAACACCATAGTTTGTATTGTGCTGTGCATAATAATGGCAGTAAATAGGTATAATTGGGTGAATAACTTTCATTCTAAAATAACAGCTAAAGTCGTGGCAAATGCCACTAACTCTTCAGCTCTGTCTCTATAGAAGGCGGTATGTTGTTGTTATTATATTTAAGTGTGTATCTAACACTAGATGTACTATAATAGGAGTAAAATTTAGAAAATAAACTTTTAGCTGTTCTATGAATAATTCTTTAAGTTTCTAAAAATAAAAGAAAAGTCTCTATTTTACTTTTTATACTATAATGCAATGTGAATATATTTATAATTTTATTCTAATTTAAATAAAATTCGCAATAGAATATGTATAGACAACTCTGCAATGCCTGTATAAAATTAAGAAAAAACAGGTGCTATTGTGAAACAGTTCATGTGGTGGGAACTTAATAAATAAGCAGTAATATGTGCCGATTTTAATCATAAGACAAAACATGTAGAACATAGTAGTCACATAATCACGTATGCAAAGTTGATTAGAGTTATTATATTTAGGATTTCTATATTTTAAGAAAACATTTTAACTCCTGCACAATGCATTTAAATAAAGAACTACCGAAATTAGACTTACCTTCAGATTATAATTAATGTTTAAAGATACATAAAGAAATAGAGGAATTGCCTTTCTTATTCGAAAACTAATAGCCAACTCTACTTAAAGAAAATTTTCTTTAATTTGAGCTTATTATGAAGTAGTAATTAAAGAACTATAAGAAGAACAAGCTAAAAAGTTTATAAAAAGCAATACAGCAACTTGTATATCTAAATTTTAAGAAGAATAGTATGGTCATTTATTATAACTGTTTAGGGCAACACGCATCAGAAGAATGTTATTTAGGAAAACAATGAGCCTTAAAAAAGTAACGTGAAGAAGCACCAACAACTCCTAGAAAGAACACGCATACCTGAAAACTTTTATTTATCTATAAATGAATATTCTATAAATATAACATTATAACTCGGCATAATTAGATAGAACATTTCTTTAGTAAATAATATAGCATTTGGGCACACATTTGTGTATCCTGTATACAGCTAAATAGAAATAACAACCCCACTATTAGCTCTTTCTAATAAGAGTATGCCAAATTACTCTCATTCTTCTATTACAGTAGGTTGTTTCTAGTGTATATTATCAATAGCAATTGAATTTTTATCAATAAGAATTTTATCTGAGAGCATTTTGTTAACATAATTGAATTTATCAAATTTCAAGGATATTTTAAGCCAAAATATCCGCATATTATTAGCCGTTAGGCAGGTTTCATACCCAGGGATGGTTCTATCCAGCTTATTTAGAAACTCTTCAATTTCCAATAGAGGGGCTATAGATGTGCCATTATACGATAATATAGAAAGAAGATTTTCCATTGTTTTTAGTACAAATCTTTCTATTACACTAGAAAAAAACTGCTCTGCGGGTTTTCCAGAGACAAGATACATCTTTATAAGCTTTAAATGCCCTTTCAGCGAGCTGCTGTTTTTTATATACTGATAGTAATCATATGATGACTCGTCTACGCAGAGGTGATTATTAAGAGTTTCTAGAGATATATTGACTTTGTCACAATAGTTTTTGTATACTTGGCTATATACTGGATTAAAAAACAATTTACGCACCGCATTTTCATCATTCAGTGGAAGGCTTCCTATAATATTAGAAATAACTCGCACCCATGGATCAGTTTTTTTCAAATCACATTCTAAAAAGCAAAGTCTCAGATAAGGTATCATGTCATTAGAATAATCTGAATTTTTAAATGCATTATATAAAAAAGTCTTTTCTATTGGGTAAGAATCTTTTTTTTCGTCTGCTATTCTTATATTTTCTGGATGTGGGGTTTTTGATGTTCTTTCGGCTCCTTTGTTATCTACTGCTTTTTCAGCACAATGCAAAAACATATAATCTGTTAAAGTGTTACTGCCATTTCTTTTAATAAATTCAATTATATTATTTATAGTATCTTTTCTAGAGCTGGTTAAGGTGGCAGCTTGTTCTGGGAAAGATTTAATAAATAAGTGTTTAGCAGAATGGCCTAATTTTATACCACCTTTCAACATAGAAAAACTATATAGTATAAATATTTCTCCAAATACATCAAATCTCCTATCCATGCTGAGGGTTTTATGCATATTTAAAAAGTCAAATTCTATCTTTCTGCTTACTAGCCCATTTGGTTTATTCTCGCTATTATTAACATTTGAAGCGCTGTTTAATTCCGAGGGAGCTTGTTCTTCTGGAATGCATTTCTTAGAGAGTGATAGAATTAATTTTTCTGTGTATAGCTCTACTTTTGTAAATAATTCACTCTGATTTTCATCACCTCCTTCTTCTAGCAGAGTGCTGAGCTCTTTAAGAGACTTTTCTTCTTTCGAATACCTTCCAGTTATTTCAGCAATAACATATAGCATATTTATTATGCCAGGAGCAAGCTCATTCCTATTTTCTTTTAGATATCTAATATTTTCATTCTCTAGATCAGCCACTACTTTGCTCCACTCCCTATGCATCTCATACGTATCAGTCTTGAATGGCTTATTGAGCATAGCAAAAAACCTTTTTAAGTCTGGTGATACATCCCCCATGTGCATGGTAGTGTATTCTTTGGTCTCTGGATCATATGCCAAACAACAAAACAAGCCAAATAATCCAGTCTCAACACAATTACTGTACCTTTTGGCATAGTCAATTTTATTTTCTTTTCTATTATAAGATGGAACACATCGATATATTGGCACATGCATGTTGCTAGAAAACGGAAATACTCTTTCTAAAGATGTATCACCATACAAAAAATTTAATACACATGTTCTCCAATCACTATCTACATCATCATTGGATTTCACAAAGCACTTGTCAACAATGCTTTCAAGATATTTCACTTCGTTGTTTGATTCTTCACTCTTTTTCTGTTCTATACACTCTTTAAGCATAGAATACACTGTCTTTGCAAACTCAATTATTTTTTCTTCACTATCCAAGTACTCGAATATATAATACTGTATTAGCCACCTTGCATTGTTTAAAAACTTTCCGGTTTTAAACTCTTCATATGTTCTTGGCTCTGCGTATTTACCCCCTTCTCGTATATCTGGGTTTGTTTTGTTGTTTATAAAGAAGTTTATAACATCTGCTGCCCTTTCTTGTGGTACTGCCTTTTTCTTTCTTTTTTCATTTGCTTTTTTCTCACTCCGCAGATCTTTCATGCTTAGAGAGAATTTATTTGCCTCTTTTTTAATCTTATTAAAGTTATCAGAAGTACCCTCATTCGGATTCTCTGTTTTATTTTTCATCTTAGGTTTTGCTATAATCTCTTTCAATACTAGTGTCAGGCTGTTTTTACTACCTTCTACATTCAGTGGTATATCCACTCCTTCTGCCAATAAAAATAAACAAGCTAAAATATCAATTTTATGCTTACATACATGTTCTAACTCAAGAAATCTAATAAATGAATCTTTTCTAGAAGTATGTATTGACAAATCACCAGTTGAAGAAGGAAATAACTCTATCAATGTTCGGTGGTAATCTACAGAATATGTTGTATTTTTCTTCCCTTCTTCTATTTCTTCTATTCCTATCCCCATTATATCTTCTTTATCGGGCATTTGAGTATCATATGGCGTGTCCATATTATAATTTCTTTTGAAAGAAATTACCATGTTTCCTTCTCTATTAATAGTAACGCATAGGCTGTAATTTATATTTACTTTTGGTGAAAAAAGCCTCATTGAATGCATTAAATCGCACTTTTCAGAAAGAAATGCCCGTACAGGATATACAGGCCCCTCTATGCGAATTTTCATTTCATCTTTTATTATAGTATTATGTATTGATATATAGCTATTGCATCCCACTCTACAGTATATCTTATTGTATGATATAAACATTCCAATAATAAACCCTATTCTTATAATCATATTATAAAAACAGAGAACATTTCAGTTATATTATAATAAAATGTGCAATATGATAATAATGATCTAACTTCAACATTACATGAGTCATTTAAATGTTGCATCATAAATATAATAACATAAATTAAATTATGACATGCCGTGCCAAATTCAATTAAATAATTAACTTAGCATATAAGTACCGGCTAAAATTTTAATAAGTGTCAATTTTTACAAATAAATAATTCAGAGAAATCAATTAAAAGAATATGTCGCCACAGAGATATATATTAACAATTAAGTTAGTAAAAATTTATCCCAGTTTCAGGTTATTGGTTAATTTTTTTTTGGTTAAAACAGTTTATTGATATAAGTTTCGTCGGGTTATTGGTAACATGCAATAATTGTTTAAAATAAATGTTTAAAAAGATCACATATTCATTCAATAATTTAGTATTTGTCTTTGTTAGTAACTGGTTTTTTCTTCTTCCTCATATATGTAAGCCCCTATTTGTCATAACTAAACTTCGTATTTATTAAATTCCAGAAATTATATAAGAGTTTCTACACTCATCACTTATGATTGATACATGCATATTCATATCACAGATGATGTACACACGTACATTACTATCATGCTAGTTATTCCATTGCTTCACATGGTGCAATAACACTGCTGGCGCGCGTACGTCCTCTGTGTGCCCACCCAGCACTAGTTGTTATACAGTATTAAAATAGTTGTACAGTGTAGAATTCAAATAAGATAAATTGTAATATTTCTGTTTTTAATAGAAAATATATAATATTACCACAATCCCCAATATATGAGCTTATATTGAATTTAAAATTTAAAAAATATTATGATGCATATAAAAAAGAAATATATTATATTTGGAGCCGCGTGGGTTATACGCCTAAATATAGTAATATGTTCAAATCTTAAAATAAAGTCCCAAATAAGTAAACCTCAAAGGAACATTCCTTATGAATCCGCATTGTTGCCGAGTAGTAATAGTTATATGCAAGGCGCCATTAATGGGGAGAAACCAGAAAGCCAATTAGAGAATAACAATATTAGTTTGTTTGATTTAATTGACCAAGCGGATTTTGGCACAGCTTTTTCATGTTTAGAAGAATTCAACAAGAAAAACAATAAAGTAGACTGTTTTAATAATGCAGAAGAGATGCAAAAAGACAATAGCAGCAGCGAGGCCAAAACCAGCAGCGACCCATATACAGAAAACAAAAGAGAATTTATTCATACAACAGAATCAGAGTCTTTTAATATGAATACATGTACAAGTTTTGCTTCTTATGATAGCTTGTTAGCTATTTATAAAAAACAGAACATGTATATTGTACGAAATTATACTAGTTATAAAACATGTCTAGTCAATCTAACAATATATATTGGACATTATTCCCTAAGAAATGATAAACTACGTATGTGGGCAGAGGAAGAAATTACTAAATGGAGAAACAACAGAAAGGAAAATATATGGATGATGACATGCCCGTCACAAGCAGATTTTTTCAGAAAAAGAAGGCTTTTTTCTGAAATGCTTAAAATAAAAGGCAACCAGCTTAACGATATATCTAACCCATCATACTACAATGAGTTTTTAAAAGATTTAGTTAGTTATATGAATGTATACGGCCCATGTATACACATCGGCAGCAATGCCATGTATAATAGTAGAAAAAAGAAACAAGAGACTATTGGGGATATATTGACTAATCAAGAAGTAAGTTTATACTGTTGCTGCAGTGGTATGGACATACAAATAATTACAGAGGAAGCAAAAAAAGATATAAAAGAAGCAGAAGAAGATATAAAACTTAAAAAAAATTGAATATTATTCTTTTAATACCAGAAATATATGAAGACTTTTACAAAATACAAAAGCGAATGATTGATGAATTTATTAAAAATAAGTTAGAAAGCTATATAGATTTGCACATCGAACAAAAACTATTTAGTTATAATAAATTCTATAGAATCTCTGTATTAAACATAAAGCACATTATACTGTATTTTATAGGGACTGTACAGAAAGATAAAAGTCTAATAGAACAGTCCTATGATAAAATTAAAAAAATAGTAGTAAATACGAAAAACCTATTTCAATGCGATGCAATAGAGGTATATTCACTAGTTCATGCTATTGTTCAGAAGTTCTATGAAGAATTCATATTTATCTATAAATTGACTATAGAAGAAAAAAATACAATTAAAAAGAGAACATTGCGTAGGCACATATATATTAGTAGAAAAAACTTATATAAAACACTAGGGGCAGACACAATTAAAATTAAAAAATACATAACAACATATATAATGCTAAATAAAAAAAGCAATAATGAAAATTCTACATTATATAGTGTAAAATTTCATAATATTTTTAAAAATGCTATTGTACTAAGCATTAAAGATCACTATCATGTGCAATTTGTGGATAATCCGCACCATACTATTGAAATAATTCATCTTCCTTTTTATATATACAAAAAAGAAGATGGCTCAGTTATAATGCAGCAGTTCCATGACATTAATAGTATACTATTACATCTTAAAATGGTATTTAACATAGGATATAAAAAAAGTCATTTGAAGAAAGGCGATGTATACCCGTTTAAATACAGTAGAGAGGATAAAACCTGGTCGTTAATAACCGATAAATCCGATTTAAACAAAACAGTACAGGCAATAGAAAATGAAAACTGTAATGTGGTGTTCTATTACATAAAAGAAAATATCTATGAAACCGAGTTCTGTTTTGCACAATTTGTGTACCCACCTGAAATAAAAGACATAGTTAACGATGAAAATATTGACAAGCCAAGAATCCCATTATTTCTCTCGAAATTTATGGTTTCTGGAAGTGTGCTTGGGCCATATGACGAGTCTGTTATATCATATAAAGTATATTCTATGCAAAACTATAAATGCATGAAGCCTATTAATTATTTGCACGACTATACAGAGGAAGGGTACAATGACATTATGAAATCTTCTTTAGGCACAATAGAGAACACGACAACCTTATCAGTGAAAGAACTTCATATGAGAAAGAACTCTTTAAATTATGCTATTAAGTATTATTATAGTGACTTCTTTATAAGAAAATCAACAGATCCATATGAAGATATTCACTGCTATGACATGAATATTATGCAGAAAGAGAGTAAGTCAAACGGCACTGTAAATATATCTTGGAATACACAAGAGAGACACAGTGCTTATGAGTACACATCATACGCTTTTGATAGTACTGTAAAAGACGAACGACTTCATATGCAGGCAGCCAACCAGCCGGCCATCACTTCATTTATTAATATGCTTCAGAGAAAAAACCCATCCATAAACACTGCGCTATATGGATACTGCATCTATAAAAATAGCGCGGATATTGACTATAAAGCAAGTGCAGTGTTCTGTCTGACTATGCGAGATCTTTTAGAGAGAATGAATACGCATTTATTGGATTTAAACAGAAAATATGAAAAAATCGATCCTGTAACAGGTGTAAATCTTTTTAGCACCACGCATGGCCCAAAGTTCAATTTAAAGGACATTTCTAATGCTATTCAAGACAGT